AAATGATTCCTTTTAGTGCTAGCCCAGTACAAGATGAAGGCTGAGTTTTCTCCATCCAGACATTATGCAGCAGAAATCCCCTGAAGAGGGGTAAAAAAAAAAAAAAAAAAAAAAAAAAAAGAAAATAATAATGTGTTTGGAATTTCTTTTTGAAACAAACGTCTCACAGCAGATGCCAGTAGGCAGGATTTGGTGGGGAACTCATCTAACTGAAGTGTTTGGAAATGCTTGTCAGTACTGTAACTATATTTTGCTATCTATGCTGTACTGCACAGCAATCTGGTATGCAGCACATGCCTCCGAGGAGTGTGTGCAGTGAACATAGCAAATGACCTGTTGGGTTGCAATGCCATCTGCTGATGTACTAATTTATTGCAGAAACTAACAGTTGGCAGTACCTTAGTGTCTGACTGCAAGCATACAGGGCAGCCTTGTAATTAATCACAAATAAATATACCTGAAATAGCACCTGGCTGACAGGGGTTTTTGCTGAGGAACCAGAACTTCTCGTTAGAAAAGGTGCCGGTAGCTTTAGCTGGGATCGAAGCATATTCTTGACCTCTTGTATCTTTATAAATCAGGACCAAAGCTCCTACATTCCTGCCTCCTTTTGAAAATCGTACTTAGGCTGGTGTATTATTTGGATACTTTTGGAAAATGGACTGGATTGGTTCTACTGCCCTGAGATCTTGTTGCTGTCCAAGTTTGTAGGCAATTGGTAAAGATTCAGGGCCATGACTCCTCCATTTGGTTGGTAAATATCCCTTGTGCCAATGCGAACCGATCCAAGAGCCTATCAGGGTAGCTGGCCTTACCTCCAGGACTTCCCTGCATCCATGCAGAGGGAAACTACATGGAGTACCAGCCCCCAGGTAGGCTTCTTAATCCTGTTGCCTTATGTTCAGTGTTTTGCTTCCTATGTAAATGTCCACAAGGAAAAAATGTCCTCTGTGGATCTACAAATGGGCTGTTACCTCTGTGAGGAAGGGAGGCATGAATGCAGCACAGCAATGTGTACTTCTGCTGCCTGCCACAGGTAAGCATGGCAGCAAAGTCAGCAGCATGGGCAGGCACGTACGTAGGTTTGTAGCCCATGCTACAGCTGTAGAGCTGTTGAGTTAGTGGTGCCAGCCAAGATTAGAGCTTTTGCTGTGTAACCTTGCAACAACTAACTAACTTTCTAGTGTGCTCTTAATTGCAAAAGCAACAAAAGGAAGTCTTGAGTCATTTGCTTTTCAGATAGAGTCATCAGTCAGGCCAGTAACTGATTGGAGATAAACTTGTGGACAAACGTTTGCTTTTGTGCTCTGAAAAAAACGGCCATGTTAATGCCAACGTAGACTGATTTGTTCTCATGCCAGGATATGCTTCTGTCCTATTCCAACACCAGGCTTGGCTATTGACATTCCTTTTTTGTATCGTTATCAGTGTTACCAGTGATTTGAACTGCTATCAGGGATGAATTTACACTTTCTTTCCACCCATACCTGTCTGAGTAAAACACAATTATACTATCTGTCCTTCCATCCCTATCTAAAACTAACTTTCAGAACAAGAAATAACCTAATCCCCTACTTTTATGTATTCTTCTTAATTGGAACTTACTCGAATGCTGTCACTTCTTGATAATTTTAAATCTCTCCAGATACAAGAACTACAGTAGTGAAGAGTGCTAGTTCAACAGTCTCTTCCAGTAGCATAATTTTGTCCTTTTTCAGGATCTGAATGCAGAGGTGCAGTCAAGCTATTTTAGCTTGGCATTACTTTTCTCTCCTTCAGCCTTCTGTGACATTGAACCATCTTCAGTGAGAAAAGGTGGTACCTCTAGCAGAGCAGTCCAAGACCGATTTTATCAAAAATGCACATGAAGTGTAAAAAAAGGATGAGGATGGCCTCAAGCCAAGCTTTGGAGGCACCAAAACCTTTTTCCCTTGCTGCATGTGGAAGGGTTTTCCTGGGAATTAGCAGTAGTTCCTGCATAATACCAATTTCATGCTCTCCTCAGAGAGTTGGCAGAAACTGTGGAGAGCAGTTTCCCCCTGACCTGACTCAAAAGCTTCTGCACACTTTAAAAGAACCAGCTTGTTTTAGATAAGCTTGTTTGGATAAGCTTATTTGAGATCCTAGGCTGCTATACCACATGGGACTGTGTCTACTTTCTTTTCTGTGCTTCCTTGTTTTTCGGTGCTTTTTGTCTATCAGGCCCTTCATGCTTATCTTCTTTTTAAATCCTTCAAACCGTTGTGTATCTTCTAGTCCTTCTGAAAGATATATCTGCCCTGTATTGTAGATGCACCTGAGCTACCTTTAAATTGCTCAGGCAGTGCTAGTAGCAGCGTTGCTGCAGAAGCACAGGTCTGAGGGCAGGATTTGCTGAGCTCCTTCAGTGGGTTTCACAGCCCGTGCCAAGTTGTGCATTGCCAGGGCTAAGCTGCTGGCGGGTCTCAGGTTAGTCGAGAGCTAAGTGCAGACACTGCCATCACTGCGATGCAGCCTTTACTGTGATGTTTATGAAACAGCGAGTGGGCAGGTGAGAAGCTGCCATTTAAACAAAACACCAGAAAAGTTGTCAAACCTACAGATTTTACATAATAAGAAAAAACATGTTACTTTCATTATCTGAGCCCAGGTTATTATTAAACAGACTACTTGAGTTTTTCGTGATTGTTTTTTTCTTCTTAAGATTCAGTTCTTTAAGTAATAAGGCAAAATAGCTAGTAGTGATTCAACTGTAGGATATTCCTTCTTCTGGGTTCTTCAGCATTTCTTATCTGTCTGTGTTTGCCATATACGTGGAAAAAGAATGTGCCCTGAGGGAATATTCTTGGTACTGTGAAAACAGTGACAGCCACACCTTGCTGCTTTCAGTACGTAACAGCTGTAACACAAAGCTGTCAGAGAATATGGCAGATGTGAACTGGACCTAATTTATTGTATGAATGGGAAGTTTGGTAGTTCTTGCTTTACAATGAAGTGAAGTGAGCCACAGCACAGTTGAAACTTGTCATAGTTCAGGCTGCGAATTTGTGACAGAATTGTTTATATTCTCCATATATCCTGGCAGGATGAAATAAAAGTTAATGAGCAAATTCCTATAGCAAAGCAATTTATGTACCTGTCTGTATTGTGTTAATTTATTAACCCTTTTACAGGGTTAGGGAGTTAAGGAGGATTCAGGTGATCTTGATCAGTTGAAGATCTAGTTTGAGGTTTGAAACAGCTTAAATATATACTTGAATATAGCTGGTTTGTGAAAGTGACTCATCTGAAAGATTCCCTATAATAAAATTATACAGTACTATGAGCTTATTTTTAGTAGTTCATGTCACTGAATTTGAAAGGGAACACTCCAACACATCATGTTAGGACCTGTGTCTTTGCGTGGACAGGACTAACCAAGTTATGCGGTCATTGCAGTTACAGAAAATATTTGATTCTAGGGCAATAATTCTGGCTTTTTCTCCAGAGTTTAGAAGCCAAACTAAACCCTGGTGGTCAGTTGTGTTTCTTTTTACTGAATCTGTTATGAAATCACACTGCTGAGCCAAGGACACGGGAAGATTTGCAAGTAATTAAATCTTCTGGCATGGTACCCGGGTCCCACACAGGAGCATTTCAGATGGAAGGAGGTGCAGCCAGAAAAGTGGTGTAAGTGTTGCTTTCAAGCCACAGGACTCCCAGCAATGCTTATGCTGTCCTGGGAATTGAAGGGACTTGAAAATAGCTGAAAGTCAAGTTACCCTTTACCTCATCTGCACCAGTGCAAAGCAGAGCTCTGATGCAGACAAAGACTGGCCCTTTCGAGATTAAAAGTTTTAGTTAATTATTTGTAATTTGTACAAAGATTTGAGAGTGCCAGTTTGGCCTGTGTAAAGAAGCTGAGCCACTTGAAAGCGTACTTCTTAACAAAACCCTGGCATATACAGGCAGTCTTTTACCAACTCTGTTATAAAGGTCAAGACAGAGGTTTTGAGTGGTAAAAAGTTATGGGAAGAAAGCTAATTGTCATTTGAAAAAGTGATCTCTTTTGCCGTTCAAGCTGCCTAAGCACATACTGTCATCAAAAGCAAAGTTATTAATTAAAAAAAAAATTGTGCTGCAGCAAAATAGTGTCAGCCAGATGTTAAAGCTTCACTCAAGCTGCTGTAGCCTTGTTTCTAGAATTACATATGTGATTTGATATGTAAGAGTGAGTTCTCCTGAAATCAGCAGGACACTACCAACTTTCACAGTTTTTTTTAAATCTGGCTGAATTTAAATGTGACTTCTGTAACTGACCCCAGTGCCTAAGTCAAAACTAAAATGTCTGATCTATTTATGTAGATCCAAAGGAAAGTGCCTTCCCCTCACTAGTACTCAGGGCTCATTAACGATCACAACAGTGTTTTTTACCTCATTGTGACTTGAAGTGTGACCCTCCTGGAAACAACGAGATATGCAGTTGTAGGCTATGTTGACTTCATTAGCAAGACTGCATAGAACTGCCCAGCATATTGTGTGGTATGTATGTCCTAGCAAGCAAAAGAATTCTGCATTAAAATCAGTTGTGTTGCACATCTATTTCTGGGGAACAGGCTGTTTGTTTCCTTTTTTTTAATTTTTAACTTCTGCAAATTGTTACACCAGATGGCCTGTTGAGCCAACAATAGATCATCATGTCTCACCACAATGGGATCACTTTCTGGCTAGTTTGAGTCGAAGCAGTTAGATACCAGTCCTCACCAAGCACATTCCTAACAACTTCACCGTAATTATTTCTTTCCATCTGGTTCGTGGTAGTATAAACAATTTCCTGCCTCCTTGCATAGCATCAGAAATGCACATAAATAAGCAATCTAGCACTGAAACAATTCTTTTGAACACGTTAAATTCCATTTCTGGATGCTAGCAGATTCCACACTTCCATGGGTAACTGAATACTCGTACTAATTACAGTAAAGGGTTTGATAATTAAGTATTTCTATTTTTAAATTATGCTCTTGTGATTTTTATTCCCACAGAGGTCTCAGTCTGCATTCTCCCTGGCTAGTGAAGATATGCCCAGTAAAGGACTTGACCCTGCATCATCTGTGACTGAGGCTCTTTGGAGGCAGCAAAAAGGACATTTCAGGAAACAGAAGGAACGCAAGCTCTCTGCATTACCCAGCTGGAAAAGTGTGGACAGGCTAAATGAAACAAGTAAATATTTCTAGTACGAATATGATTCTTTTTTTGGCTCTCACTCACATATGGAATAAATACGACTTAAAACAAGGATCTTCTAAAGGAAATTTATGCTGACCTCTGTGCTTGCAAGGGTCACACATAAAAATGTCTATTTGGTGATACTGAGTGTCACGATTTCATTGGGCTGTGTTATTGCTTCTCTTACCTTCTCCCCCTCTCCCCCCCCAAGAAAAGATTCAAAATGTGGGCCTTTGGGGAGTTGATTTTGGACTTCTAGGAAACATCAGGCACCTAATTTGGATATATTTCAGAGCTTCTAAAACATAAGTGCCCTGCTTTGTTACCTGGCTATCTCTCCTCCAGTTGAAGGAGTTTGCAGCTGCCCATAGCCTCCCTTCTGTTGCGCAAGTTAACTGTTCATGAGGTTGTGTGGCGAACCAGTGAAATAATTCACATTTACAATTCCCCCTTGCACCTTTATTATCAACTCCATTGAATTCACCAATACAGCGTTCTGTACAACCCTACTAACTGCTGCTTCCACACAAGTTTGAGGAAGCTGTATGAGTAGGGACTTCACAGACCAGCAGTTTCCCTAGATCCATGTCCTCTGTTTTTCCATGCATTAGGTATGAATGTGAATATGGACAGTGAGTAGCTTCCCAAGTCAGCCCCATTCCTGAATCAGCAGCCTGGGATAGAATGCAATTCCCTGCTTACTTCAAGATGACATAAGTACAGGCTGTCATTGAAGAAGGTGGTTCCTGCTCTTGGGGGGTCCCATTTCCACTGCCTCTCTTGTTCTGGCTGTAGTGTTCATGAGGCTACAAGAGTGTAGCACCAGGCAACTGCTACACAGAAGAGTTGGTTAGTTTTCATTCCTACAGCTGCACAAGGGGAAGGGCTGAACTGCTCACTGCAGCAGTAGTCCCTGGCTCTAGGTGGCAGGGAAAAGCAAAGCTAACATATCTGCTGCTGTTGTCCTCTCATGACAGAGTCTGCTTGTTCCTGCTTGTCGTGGTTTAACCCTAGCTAGCAAATAAGCACCACGCAGCCGCTCGCTCACTCCCCCTGCCCCAGTGGGATGGGGGAGTGAATCTGAAGAGTAGGTGAGAAAACTCATGGGTTGAGATGAGGACAGTTTAATCATTAAAATAAAATAAAGAAACAATAGTAGTAGTATTAATAATAACAATAGTAATAATATTACAAAACAAGTGATGCATCATGCTATTGCTCACCACCTGCTAACCGATGCCCAGCCAGTCCCCGAGCAGCAATCACTGCCCCCCAGCCAACTCCTCCCAGCTTATATACTGAGCATGACATCATATGGTATGGAATATCCCTTTGGTGAGTTTGGGTCAACTATCCTGGCTGTGCCCCCTGCCAGCTTCTTGCTGGCAGGGCATAAGAGGTTGAAAAGTCCTTGACTAGTGTAAGCACTACATAGCAATAACTAAAACATCAGTGTGTTATCAGCATTATTCTCATGCTAAATGCAAAACACAGCATTATGACAGCTACTAGGAAGAAAGTTAACTCTATCCCAGCTGAAACCAGGACACTCCTTTTCTTGTGACAGCTGTAGAGCCCATCCGACCCCTGTAGCAAATCATGAAGCTAAACAAGCAGAAAACTTCTCTTTTGTAGGGTGAGTTTACTGGTGCTGTAACTCCCACAGCTGGCTCGCTAGATGCTGGCAAGCAGAAGCAGCCAAAATATGTGTTTGGGTGTAGTGGGGACCAGGGATGGGGGCTGCCCATCAATTCAATTCGTTTATCTGTAATGCCAGTTGATAACCTGGGAGACTGAAAATTAGGCAGTGTCAATACCCCTTCTCCCCCCAGAAAGAAAGTAATAGTAAAGTAGTAATAAAACTAAGTATGAATTACTTTCTGAACTGCTCATTCAAACCCCTGTCAGAAGTGTTGTTCTCCTGGGCATTTTAGTGGAAGGCCTATTTTCAGTAAAGTAGTTAATTGGGTGCTTAAATTTAAGAACCCACTTCAATCCTATTGAATTCAGCTGTTCAGCAATTTAGTACTTAACAATTGCTTAACCATAGCAGAATGACAAATTGACCCAGTTTCCTTTCAGGTGCTCTACTCAGAGGATTTTTTTTCTGCTTCTTTCATCTAAGAACCACATTTGTGATGAAATTGTGGTGCCTATTGAGCTTATAGTAAATACCTGATTGTGCTAATTTGTGTAAATATGATCTCACCTATACAGTAGTAAGCAGCTCTGTGTTACGATACAGAAAACAAAAGAAATCTCAACCAAGAGTTTGGAGTGGTAAAATCAGTGGGCTTTTTAGTCATGTAGCCAGAAAGCAGTTCACAATTTATTTTGATTACAGTTTGCACTGGTTTAAATGATGACTCGAGAGCCAAATCATGAATTAGTGCTTTTTTCCCCTTTACCAATAGTTTCACAATGAGACTTCTTAAATCTATTTTCATTTTCACATGGATAAATTATAGTGTATACCCAAAGAATTGTGTGCAACATCCATTCTTTCAAGTAAGTGACCTTGTTTTGGAAAATCGGGAAGGGAGCATTTGATATTACTTGAAGCTGGGATAGAACTGAATTCAGCTTTCTGAATATAAGTGGCTTTCCTTTCCACTCTGCTTACCCTCTAAGATGTAATCAACTACTATCCTGCCCTTTACTTCAGTTAACTGAGGATGTTTGGCAGATTCTTATGTGTTGTTGCTAAACAAAACAAGGTATGCTAAACGAAACCATATGGTTTGGGAGAGAAAAAAGTATATAGTGGCATTCCACTGCATTATGTTTGTGTAATGTGGTGCAGCTGAATTCAATTCCTGTTGGAGATTTATATCTTGCAGAGCTGTTTGCTTTGTTTGAAGGAACAGTGTTTTTAAGGAAATGTCCTCTTTCTCTCAAGAGAACCCTATACTTAGATTAGTGAGCATAGTTGGAAAAAGTGAACAAAGTTCCTTATGGTTGGTAGCTTGTATTCTTTTTTTTCTCCAAAATCAGCTGTTACAATAGTTTTTAGTTCTCCCTATAAACCTGACTTCAGTTATATCCTCGGCTGGTCACTGCTACAAGAAAACTATTACTATTTTGATTTCTTTTTAAGCAGGACTAAGAATTACTTCAATGATGTATTTTCTAAAGTACTCTGAATTGGCATGAGATTTAGGAAGTAAAAACAAGCCAAAAGGACTCAAATGAGTAACAAACACAAAAACTGTTCTAAATCTTGCATAGCTCCTAAGTTTAATTACCATTTAATTGTTGTTTCTTTTTTGTAGGGGTGTTTTGTTGGTGGTAGTGTACCACAGACTTTTTTTTTCAAAACTGAGCACACCTTCTTACTGCATACTTATGTTCTTTATGAATAATTCCAGGGAAAAAGTCATCTTCTTGAGCTCTAAGTGTTTGTAATCATGTAATGCAAGATGCTGGAGTATCATCTACAACACTATCCAGACTGTACTACTTTCATTTTTAAATAGTGATGTTCTGTTTACAGTTTTAGAAAACTAATAGTTTATAATAAGTATTTCTACAGTTTTCTGGAAATGGCAAATTTGAACCCACAGAAGGAATCTGTAAGGCTGAAAAGTTCATTCAGTAAGCTGAGATTACTGTGTAAATCCATGACATTATATATTTATTCAGCTGCTGTGAGAGGTAGAGTAATCACACATTCACATTTCCTATGAAGGGACTTTTCAGGTTTGATTGGAAATGGAATCTAAATTTAGAAGAAATGCAATTCTGTGAGTTATACAGCACTTTTTGACCATATTTGTGGCTTTTTTTTTTTTCTGTCAGAGTTGTAAAACATACTCTGAAAAAGTGTAAGAATACAAGAGCAGCAGTGCTTGGGTCAGACAAAAAAGCTCATTCAGTCTAAGATACAACAACAGCAGCAACCATAACCATAAACAAGAGCCTAGGAAAGATTAGGAGAAAGCAAGTATTTTTCATGCTGCCTCTGAGTAGGCTCTGAACCTCCAGAACTTTCAGCTTAATGACTACCTCAGCTAGAAATGTTTTTCTGTGTTTAGTAAACCTCAGTGGATTTCTCTTCCCTGTCCATAGCTGTCTCTGGTTTATCCCAGATTAATTTCTAGCATCCATAACACCCTTAGGCAAGAAGCTCCACAGGTCTGGTACCCATTGCATCCCACTTCTTTCTTTTGTTTGTTTTGAACCTTGATTTCACTAGTTTCACTTGATGCCCTCTAGTAGGTAGGTTGGAAGAGATTCCCCCATCTCTTTTAGCATGTATCCTCTCAGTGTTCTCTCCTCCAGATGGCAGAGCTGTGGCTTACTTAATCATTCCTTGAATGGAAGCTGTTTCAGAGCCTTGTGCAACCTTTGTTGCTCTTCTCTGATCCTTTTTCAATCTTTACTTCTCAAGATGGGGGACCAGAACTGCACACAGAATCAAAGACATTTACAAAACACAGGATTCATACATGTCTGTGTACTGATGTTCTCTCAGCCCTTCCTAATAATTCTTTTAGAAAAAGGCCTTGGTCTGAGTACTCTCACATTTTAAATAGTCATCACCGTGACTTTAAGTGGTGGCTTCTGATTAGAAGTACAGCAGCATGGCTCACAACATGAGAGAATGTAGCATCAACACTTGCATTTGTTCATTAGTTTTGTTGAACCCTCCAATTTGTGGCCTGTTGATCACACACTGGGCAAGTAAAATGAGCCTTTCACACTGTGATCACGTAGCGATAATTGTTTTGTTTTCACAGATCCACCTTCTGTTTTTCAAAGCACTGATGGAAACTGGGTAGCTTTGCAGAATGTCACTTTGCCTCGTCCTCGAATGCTTGCCAAACCAAAGAGTCAAGTATTCGAAGCTTTGGAGAATGAATCCAGCGTTGTGTCTGCCTATGATGAGATGGGCTCAGACAGCGAGGATGACTACGACTGGAATGTGGCCTTGAACAAGCTGCGTCGGAGACCTCGGCAATTACCAGACGATTTCTATTATACCAATTCCCAATATGGTACTGAATGGGTTTATGGCAATGATCAGTATCAGGCAGTGACCTCCCCTTCCTCTGGGTTATACACCAATACTGAGACACTGCTCTCCGATTCTGAAACATCTTCAGTAAACTCTTCCCAGGAAGCTAAAGGACCTAGCAAACTTCTCTGGTTACAAAGCAGAACTCAAAGTGATATGCCCAGAATGGAAACAAAACATTTCCACGGAGAGCTGGATGTAAATTTCAATCCACAGGCAACCAGCTTGGCGTATTCAGACAGCAGTGAGACTGAAGAAGTCCATTATGATTTAGAAAAGAGATCAAGAAGATGGAGGAAGAGCAAAGCAATTTCTGAAGAATTATGTGAAGGAAAAAATCGCACAAAAACCAACCAGATGAATTTAAGTCAGGTAATTGTGTTTGAGCTTACTGAGTGCAATCTCAAAAAGATGTGGGCAAAGCTAATTAAGCTATACTGGCAATAACATGTGAATTGTGAGTGGGAGGTGGAACGTTCTTGCAAGATTTATCCTCCTCATGCCTCATAACTGAGAAGAAGCAAAGGTAAAGTGTTACATACACCATGAAGAGGCTTTGCCTCTTTCTCAAATATGCCACTTCCATCTGACCAGTGACATTGTTAAGGCTGTAAAATACAGTGCTCTTTAAAAAAAAAAAAAAAAGTCAGGATTTGCCAACAGCTAACAAGTATTGAGTAATCACCTGTTCTGTTGTGTTGTGGTTTTTTTTTTTTTAACTCCTTTGTTCTTGGAATAAGAAATTACTCGTATGCCTGGGAATCTTCTGTGTGCTGTTTGCAAATGTCCTGATAAGGGATAAAGCTAATGAGCAGCAGAAATTCAGAAAGGGCTGGTTTTGAAATATGGTCCAAGTGATGTCTGCTTTTAATTAGTCGCTTGATTATGAGTTCTGGTGTGTTAGGGTAAATGTTTACAAACTACTTCCATTTAAATAATTTGTCATTGGATTAAAAAAAAGAAAACCAAACCAAACAGAACTTAACAGCTCAAACTTGGAAAACTGATCATACAACTTGAAGACAGCAAAGCACAAACATTTCTTTTAAACAACCAGTGTGGGGTAGCCAGAAAGCAAAGAAGTCTGTTTGGAGTTTGTCCAGGCCTGGGACTGATATTATGTAAGAAATCCATTTGTCCCCCAAAACTTTTTTAGCAATACAAGCACACTTCTAACTGATGACTCAGCTGGATGAGGAGAATACTGACCCCTTACCCTGTTCCATTTCCCATGTCCTACCCCTCTCAAATCCTGTAGCTGCATCATTGCTGCAGTAATGGTAAGCTTGAAGCAAGGAGCTAAGTGCTGTCTTCTCCCTATGCCTCTGACTGCAAGCAACCTGATCCAGTCTTTAAAGCCATCTGAGAAATTTTAGGATGCTTGGAATTGTTTTTCTTTGCTTATGCTACTAGCCTTTACTTCCCATAGAAAGACATCAGTACAGCTGATCATAAATCAAGATTAGGATGCTAGGATTTGAGCAGGTTTTTAATGCTGGGTAAACTATTGTTAACTCTGTATCTATTCCATATGCTTTTAGGAGACAGGTGTGGGTGTTTTGTACCGATTCATTTGTACTCATGTCCTCATACATTTATATCTACAGTTGTTAAAGGGGATTTATGTATGATAATGTGCTCTAACAACACATCAGTGGCCATTAATGACTTCTAAGAACATCAGGCAGAATTACAGGACTTTCCAGGGACTGCACAAAGACCATATTTTGTACACAGATTTCTCTGTTTCCCTTTCTGGCTTTGTGTATTTGTGCACGTTCTATGTGTGTCCGTATTCATATTGTGGCTTTCTAGTTACGACTGCTCCATGGAGTATAGAGAATCAGAGCTCACAGGGAAGATCCTGGAGATGTTATAGAATCATAGAATCATTTAGGTTGGAAAAGACCTTTTAAGATCATTGAGTCCAACCATAAACCTAATACTGCCAAGTCCACCACTAAAGCATGTCCCCAAGCACCACATCTACAGGTCTTTTAAATACCTCCAGAGATGGTGACTCAACCACTTCCCTGGGCAACCTGTTCCAAAGCTTGAAAACCCTTTCAGTGAAGACATTTTACCTAAGATCTGATATAAACCTCCCCCACATGCATCCAGTGGAGGTCAGAAAGGCAGGGTGCTTCCAGACATAATGTGATGGCATCCTTCAGCAGCTTAGTGCATGCTTCAAAGTGCAAGCTGGTGCAGAAAGTGATAGTTCTTGCCAACTCTCTTGTGAGTTGCTTTGTCTCTTAAGTGCTGCTTCTACCTCTCCGTTGCGCTCAAATGCAAGGTTTGGGATTCTGACCCGTTCTCCCTTTTGTGTTTCCCCTTTAGGCTAAAAGACACTGTTCCTGCTCTCTTGCTCCCTCAGCCACAGTGGGGCAGGCAGAGGCACACTGCCTCCAGATCACGCTACTGTTTTCAAAGCAATGAAATTCTCACTAGGAGGTTTATGTATGGGTGGGTTTGCATACATTTAGTTTGTGTTTGGACACACACACACTGGTGGCTGATTTGACAGCTGGTGCCCACATTTGGAGAACTGTTACTGCAGCCTCTGGTACACAAGCACTGCTGGGAGCACGAATGGATTGGCTACTATAATTTATAGCAAGGATGTTGCACCGCTAAACAATTCTAGGAAGCAATTACAATGGTCATGAGCATAAGGAATATGATTTGAGGTATGAAAATAAATTAGCCAGACATAATTTATATTGCTTAGAAAAATGAGATTAAAGGGATGTCAGGGTTTCATGTAATCCCCAAAGTAATGTATTGATCTTGGTAAAATGGTTGAGGCTGCAGCAGAGTGCACCCTACATGTAAACAGTTTGTACAAAATGATAGTGTAGGTGCATGGAGAACTGCAGACAGTGTAAACTTAAGGAAGCTTCATTGTGGGGTCTTAAATCAGTCAGATTTTCACATGCTGAGGTTATACAGAATTTACAGAAACCATACAAAATGCCTTTCTAAACCATGTTGCATCTAGACATTAGACACTGAACAACTGACCATATGTAAATGGCAGTGAAGAAACGTACTTTTTCCTGATTTTATTGCATTGTAATAATAACCTTATTTCACTGCATTGTAATAATAACATGATAATTTGTTAACCATTATGTTAAGTTGGGTTTTCTTTTTTAGTTTTCGAATAGTACAGGTCATTTTCTGGTTTGCTGCTCTGAGACTCACAGTGAAATGGAAGCAGGCCCTTTCCTCTCTCCCTGCTCCAAGTCTAGAGAATTGTAAGCAGTAACATTCTGGAACAATTGCAGTCATTTCATAACTCACAACTGCATTTCTATTAAAAATTAGGTATTTTTTTAATCAAGATCCAGTACCTAGATTAGGATAATGCTGTGGCATTCAAAAGTCAGTCAAAACTGACTTTAGACTCAACACTGGAACACTGACTTTGTGACTGAGAGAGAATTCATTGTATGAAGTCTGGAGTGACTTAAAAAGGGAAACCTGAAAACAGGTATCAAGATATACTGTATTTGGGGAGAATTTTTGTCACTTTATGACAGGTAAAAGAACAACCTGCTTCACTGGGTTGCCTGTAGAAGTGCTGTAAACACGGTCATTAAGCAAGTACAGAGGGACATAAAAACTGTCCTGATAAAACTGATGTTCTACTGTAATAAATTTCTGATAACCCAATTGCTTATGTAGTACAGAAGAGTTATATTCCTGAGGAAACCTGAATTGGGAAGTGCAACCTTGCTTTTAAGGATAATTATTTTTCAAATTGTAACTTTTTCCAAGAAATCGCCACTCAAACCACCAATTTCTGTCTGCTTTCATTATTATTAATAATATTATTAATAATTTCT